TGACTGGGTTTATTAAAAATTTTGAATGTTCATCAAGCTTAATTGAATTTATTTACTTTAATAATCTGATATTTCTTGACAACCTGCTCAACATTTTCTTGTTTGCGGTAAAGAACACGCCATTTTGAAGATTTGGTGGCACATTAGATATCCAGAAGTAAATTTTCAGCTTGGTCCTTTCTTGGATCGTGATCTGAAGGTCTGGCAAAGTTCGTGTTTTAATCAACGTGTCAACAACGTGCTGCTTCCATGACCGAAGACAATTTAGTGAATCTAAAATGCGATGGTTGTTATTTGGAATCCATAAGCAGCATTTAGATTATTACTAGTTTTTAGAATCCTTAAATCTAAACAAAAATTCAATAGCTGACGATAAATGCAAACTGCATAGTGGCACAATATTTCCATGATATTTAAAAATTCATGCTCTCAAGAACTCATAAAGAATTTAACGAAAATAAAGTTGAAAGAATGGAATTATCATGAATTTGAGAAACTGACTAGATGAATATTAATTTGTGAATGCTTAAAGAAAAACGCTCTCACTGCTGCTTTTTGGAATTAATTTAAGACACAGACCTTCAGTTTGAATAATTCATTAATTAATATTTTTTTGCTGATTTTTTCATTTTTCTTTCAATTATCAACTAAAGCTTATTTTTTTAATTATTCAGTAATTCTTTATTCATTTTGAAGTAAACTTTAAAGCTTGGTTTAAAGAGTTGTGATGTTGTGAGTTCTATTTGTATAGCTTGGGTATAGCCATGGAGCGTCATCTTAAAGGATTTTAGAGTGCAAAATTTAAAATTTCCTTTCAAAAAAAATAAAAATTCAAAACTTAAAAAGTTTGTGCATCATTCTCTGGGCCAAAAGGTGTAACCTGCTGGGGAGAACTATTCTCTTGCCTGACTCCATTGTTGTTTTTTTTTATGAATAATTGAAATTAATTTGCTTAATTTTTTATTCAAATTGAAAACGAAATGCAGAATTTTTTTATGAAGCATTATAAAAGCTGCATTGTAATTTAAAATAATAGCGAATTCAGTTGAATTTGAATCCTACAAATTTTTTTTTTATGAAAACTGACTTCAAAATTTTATGAGGAGCATTTTGAATTACTTAAAGCTTCAAAGCATTTTAAAGCTCCTCAAATATTCTTTTAATTTTATATTTCTCACAATTTTCTTTCTTCTATTGAAGCATCAACATCTCATTTAAACTTAACCTTCTATTTTTATCATCTCAGCAAATAAATAGAACAGAATAAACTTGAAAATCTACCAAATTAAAAGGAAAGTTTGTTAGATGATTTCCATTGAAAAAATCAAGAAAAGGAAAGTAAAATAATGAAAAGAAGAATTTCTGTCTTCTTGTTGAAGTGTCGCGTGTAATTATGAAAATATCTACCTGCCATCAACAGACGATGTCGACGATACGCAAAAATGTCGTTTTCATGATTTTTCTCTCTCTCTGCCATTGAGGAAATATTTTCTTAAATTTATTTTTATGAAATTAAAGTTTGGGTTTTTGAGGGATAAGGGGAATAATTTCTAGGAAGAACTTATAAAGTCAAATATAAGGTTTATTTTAAATTCAATTTAAATAATGCTAAATATAGTTCTGCGTTAGGTTTCTAGGGCCACCAGGAGAACTGTATCCTAGTTTTAGGTTAATTCTATTTATATTCCATTTCCGAATTTAATTTTTGCCTCATAATGCAAAATACCTAGTAACCGCAGTGTCTCCTAGAAACTGAACCTCAAAACATGAAAATCAATTCTTGCGTTCCCACCAATATTAAAAACTTCATAACTTGTAATTTCAAAATAATAGTCGAAATTTCTGAGAGCAGATAAAGTAAAAGCTTTCTCCTCATTACAGAAAAAAGAGACTTTTAAAGCAAGGAAATGAATAAAAGAGACAAAAGCATGAAGACAAAAAATGAATAGAATAAATATCGCAAGTAGACAAGCGTACACATGAGATAGGCAGAAGGAGGGAAGAAAATTAGTGAGGATAAAGGAAGAAAAATGTGAAGAAAAATAAAGTCGAATGAGATTTTCATCTTTATCTCCTTTAATTTCAATTGCTTGACATGAGTCATGAGAAATGTTTTGAAAATGGCAAATTATGTAGACATGGAATGAAGGCACTGTTTTTTTGTTGATAAAATAATTTAATTCATGTAAGGCAATTTGTTATGTCCTGACACTTTTCTATCTGCCATGTTATTACCCTGTCTCATTTCTAAATAGCATACACAGACAGTGATTTAAATAAATTTTTGTGGAATTCGCCTCCAGTTTACTCAAATATGTAGAAAAAATTTGTTGGAAAATGAATCGTGATATAAATTTCATTTGAAATCACATTTTCAGTGGTTTCATCTGTGAATTAACGGAAGTATTATGTATACGTGTATTTGCATATGTTGAGGTCAATGCAATTATCAACAGAATGGTCAGAAATCGAATTTTCAGTTAAAAATAAAACAACTTTTTGTGTGGGTGGAAATTAAGTTTTTGTGGGTTAAAATTTGCATGATTTTTAAGAGATTTTTTTTTGAGTCGCTCTCCATAGCTCTATTTTTGATGCTATTGGATCAAGTTTTGGAACTTTTGAATTGTATTTTGGTTAGATTCTAGCTTGACTTTTATGAAACTCATGGTTCGAAGTTTTATCTTAAGCTTTTCTTTATACCTAAATCTTTCTAATTTTTTTGGAATGGAATTGACTCCCCCGAACCTCTCCCGGCCATCGAGCAAAACATTTACGTACCCAAGTATCTGAATTTTGCAAGAATTTTGTGACGTCGATTAAGCGAACATGATCTCAAAACCAAGCACAAGCAAGCGACGCTATCAAAAGAATTGAACGATGTATTGAAAAATCCTAGCAATTTAAAGTTATTCGAAGATAATCAGCCAATGAAAAAACCATTGGTTTCGTAATTGAAATTGGTTTTCTTTTGAAGTCCAGAGCATAAAACAATTCCATTTTTATTAATAATTTCAAACAAATTCTCGCGATAGAATTAAAAAAAAATCAATTTCAGCCGCAATTTTCATTAATTTCGATCTATGAGAAGCAAAAAAAAAAGCTAATAAAATATAGTGTAAACATCAACAGCCAACGAGAGTAGTTCATTGAGCTTCCTTTCGTTCACAATCATGCACCTCCATTTAGTTGAATGCATATTCAGCAAATTTGTTTGTCTATCTATGCTGTCTCAACATACAACATTCATTGTTTTATTGATGACGATATTGAATATGCAATGCATATATATGTAGTCGCAATTGTATGTATAAAATTTTAAATCGATATTCGACACTATCACAACTGGACATGAAAAACTGAACTGAGTCGGAGTCATAGTCAGAGATGTTGTATGCGTTTATTTATAAAATTAATAATACTCAAAACTCATTTATACAGTATGTACCATACGAAACACACATGCACAAATATTTCGGATTTTACCGATAATTGAAAATAAATAAATTATCAGGAAAATTGCATTTTATGATAAATTTTTATTGTGAAATGCAAACGATTTAAATACGATAATTAGTTTGAGGATAAAAGCTTCAATAAAGTGCCATGTCCTCTTGACACAACAAGCGGCATTCTTTGGTCAATGGCCCGAATGTTTATATAAATTAAATTTAGTCTTCATTTCTCTCAATTTATCATGCCTTTTGTTTTTTTTTATCAATTTGTAGGTCTTTGAGGCTCATACACACGTACAAACATTTTTTTAATATAATATTTATGATAAATGAGAGGCACACAAAAAAATGAAAATATTGACATGAAATGGTGGAAAATAAATCAATAATCTGCTGCCTGCAGATGATAATATAGTCACAATAAAATATAGATTTATGAGAATTTCTCGCTCTCTCTCTTCTTCTTCTCTTTTTCATTTCATTCATTTTGATTTTGATAACTGGCTATATTTGCTGTATTATGAAATTTCTTCTTATTTCATTCGTTGAATGTTGATATTTTTATGGCACAACAACGACATGGGAATCGTTATAGTTTTATGAAGTCTGTCTCTGTTAGGTAAAGTTTTGTCTCACACATAAGTGGGCTGCAAATTATTCGTTCTCAGTGTGGAATTGAGAAGCTAATTAGCTATTGTTTCGACTTCATTGGGGGTATAATATGGCCTATCAATGAGTATTGATAATCAACGTAGTGATTGACGAGGATTTTCGCATTTCAAGCTACATAATTTGAATGATTTTTCGAATGATTTGCAAATTATAACGAATGAGGGCATTTTGAGTTGATGGATGAGTGTGGAAAATTGCAATGCAATAGAAATTAATGAAAATAGATCTGAACTGTCTGCAATATTTAACAATCTGATATACAAACTGAAAAGTGCGATATTAAATGTTGTTAACAGCATGCGAGTTATTTTTACATTGACAATACAGAATTATTATTGAATCTTACGTGAAATTCAAATTTTAAGTCTACACGAGAAAATTTTAGAAACTCAATTTGTTCCTACATAGCTGATTAGTAGTGAATAATTCTTCCTTCAGTCATAAAAGGATTTTAATGAGGCATTTGATTAGGAAGCAAATTGTTGAACTAGAATTCCTTGTTCCCATCAGTTCCAATAAAAATAATTAATGTTTTAGTTCAATAAAGTTTGTTTCTGTCATTTAAAAAATTCATATCGTATTCACTCTACAAAGTGTAAACAGCAAAACTAGCTGGAATAGTAAATAGCATTCTCTGCTAATTACATTGGACCCATTTTCCCATACATCAGTTAATTTTAAAATTCATCTATATCGAATGTCAACATTGACATTTACCTATGCTTTTGAAAATATAAGTCGCATTTCATTACGTAAAGCATATGGGAGTGAATTCACATCCGATAAAAAAAAATAATTATTTGTATTTTTTTTCCATTTACCAGGCATAAGGGAATGCAATTTTTTTTTAAAAAAAATGTATATTTGCTGACTTACCTGAAATCCATCGTATGTCCAACTACCGAATTTCATTTCACAACGTTGATCATCAAAAGGAAACCACGTAATATCGATTTTACATGTAGATTTAAAAATTCCTGGTGGCACATATAGACACGATCCATTATTACGAACGACAACATTTGTTGGATACGTTCCATCGAAGCCCTCATCCGCGCTATTTGTAAAAGAAAAAGAAAAATAGTAAATATAAGGAAAAATGTTGGAAAATAGTTTTCTGCAAACTACAAAAAAAAACTTTTCATTCGATTGGATTTAATTGGATGTTACTTATGGTGTATCTTCTACATTTTCTCCTCTATTTAAGTGGTTTCAACTTTCAAGTTTATTTATTCTGTAAAGTTCAGTCGTAAATTAAAAAGAGATTAGGATGGTTCTTGAGTGGAAGCGATGTAAAATATGTTTAAAAAATGAAATGCAGCTCTTAGACCTTCTCAACTTTTTTTTCGTGTTTATTATTTTACCTTCAGGATAAGAGGGAAAAAAGGACTGAGTCATTAAAAAGCTGTTAACTTTTATAATCACTTGGATTGTAAAGTCAACTCAGATGGTGTTTGAGATGAGATTTGTGAGTTTTTGAGATTGTCATACGGAAAGAAAAACATCTGAGATAAGGAAAGATACTTGGCAGTGATTTTGAGAGGGATTTAAAGGATTTTATGGGATTTTCGTGAATGTGTATCATAATTTTTTGATATTCTGATGTATCTTGTTTACTGTATTTACATGGAGTAAGGTTGTTGGGTTATGGAAGTAAGGATGTAAGTGTATTCTTGGTATTAGATAGAAATGTTGTGATTCATTTATTAAAAAATTTGAAAATATTGACTAGAATTGATTTTTTATTATAGAAGGTGGGAAAGCACAAATTGAAGGCAGAACTAACTTACTGCTCATAAGGCTAGATGGATCTTATCCTGGTCAGAGGATGAAATGCCTAAAAACTGCTTTACACCGCCCAGATAATAACACAATTGAACTGATTTACAAAAATTGTCTTAAAAAAATCAATAGATTCACCTAGTTCCTCTATTTTAAAGCAGCACATTCTGCTCTATAAGTTTCATTTATTAAAATTAAACCAGCTGTGTATTTTTTTCTACCTTTAAGTTTTAATTCCACAAAACTTTTATTCTTAAAAATACTTATATAAAACCAGAAAAGCCTAAAGCATACAGCCTATAATCTCCAACTGTGACAAAGCTTTCAACAAATTAGAAAAAAAAAAAATTCTGTCGCATTTACATGATTTCTATGGAACAGATATAGAGACAAAGAGGGAGAACACAAACGTGTTGTTTGTTTTTTCATTTTCAATCAGACAAGTACGTAAATATTCAGTTCCATACATCACTAATTTAGAAAGCGGATTATCAAACGTTGTTTTTATGTTTTCCTTTCTGTAACTTCACATGACATACACAAAAAAAGAGAAAAAAAAATCCCAAAAAAGAAAAATATTTTTCAGTTTTATTTTGGTGATGCTTTACAAAATAGAGCATCTATAAACATAAACATTTCAGGAATATTTCATGTTTTTCAAATTTGTATAGAACTAGCGCTACAACATGGTGCAAAAAAAATTGGAAATTGCTGCTATGATGGCAAAAGAAGGCATTCATTTTTAAATTAAATTGCTCTTTTAGGGAAGATTTTGTCATATTCTTTTTATATTAAAATTGATGATGATGCTTTTGAAGGAGGATGTGAAGGGTTATATAGAGGAAGTTTTGAAAATAGCACGCAGTGGCGTAGCGAGGATCTTTTATTAATTTTGCATCATCAGACTCTTTAGTCTTGCTATGCCACTTATACTATCTACAATATGTCTGGAAAGACAGTGGCATAGCCAAAATTGCTGGACATTAGAAGGTTTAGAAAAAATAAGGAAAATTCAAGAGGACATCGACTTATGACATCCATCGTTTAAGGCAGTGCTTCTCAAACGATGCAACCACAGCATCAATGTTGACGATTTTTCCATAAGCTCTCGAACAATTCCTCTTCATGAAATTTCATTTTAGTACAGAAAACAACGACTAGTCCTCAAAACCCAACGACTGCAAACAAAGAAAACTTCAGTTAGATTCGAAAAATTCAAACTGAAATTCGAAAATTTCGAACTGTTTCGAACTATTAAATTTTTTAAAAAATAAATGATCGTTAGGGAATCAATAAAAATATATTTTTTATAGTTATTTTTTGAAGCAAAATTATTCCTTCTAACTTTGAAATTGTAATTTTACTCTAAATTCAACAAAAACTTTTAATAATTTATCAATTGTATCTTGACAATGTTCAAAATAGACTTCAATTTGTGCAATTACTGTATTGATGAATTTCTGGTTAAAGGAAGGATCAGAACATAAGGTAAAACAATTAAGCTGTCTATAAATAAATTCAAGAATACGCAAGAAATGTTTTTTTTCACAGCAATATTCAATATTATGCAATTTAAGAAATTCAATCCACTTATCTTTATCCACAGAGCTTTTTGGAAGTTCAAACAAAGGTATTTTATTGGTTTTCTTTCCTTTACAACCAGTAATTACACAATTTCTGACTATTTTAAAAAAATGAAATTTTATAAATTCAATAAAGACTAAGAAATGTAAACAAATATTTTCAACGGAAATTTTAAATTCAAATCAAGTTCGAAAATGAAGTACCTATTTCCGAAAATGAGTTCTTGTTTGCAGTCGTTGGCTCAAAACTACATAATAATTTGAGTTGTGGCTTCCACCCCAAGTAATTTGATTCCACAAAATAAAAAATTCTCAACCAGAATTGTCGTTGGTTATGTAATTTTTTCTCCATCCTCTTAAACTTTCTTCTACCAAAAAAAATCATTTAATGAAATTTGCGGTGAAAGTTTCAAGCCCTAAATATTCTCTTTTACTTTGAGTTAGTTCCTCCGAATATTTATCTTTGTAATTTAGAAATAAAAAGCACATCAACTATCTTAAAATCCTATCCTTACTATAAGTATCGTTGTACAGCAAAAAGGGGTAAAATTTTCACAAAGAGATTATAAAATTAGTTTTTATTCCCTCATCTTCCAGGATTTTCGCTTCTTTATAAAACTTACTCTTCATGTAAGCTGAAGTTTACACGAATAAAGAAACTTTTTTTGTTATGTGCACAGAAAATGCAGACAGAAAAAGAAGTACTTAAATGAGTAGCGGTTTGGTGTGTATGTACATAAATATTGAAAATTTATGATCTATAAAGAAAGAGCTTTTTTCGCTAGTTTCTTTACAATCTGCAAACAACTGCAGACTGTGTCCTTGTGGAAGATACATTTCAAAAACAGATCTGTTAACCAAATTTATACTCGAATGGAATTTGAACACCCAAAAAAAAGAATCCAACCCACATTCTCAGAATTTTTAAACGCAAACATTCCTGCAAGGATATACCGATAGCATCAGTGTATGTTTTTGAAATGTTTGTTTGCATTTCAGCATCCACAAAAGAGAGAAAATAAAAAAGGATGAAGTAGGATAAAAAACATACCTATTGTACATAAGAACATCTGGTTTCCATATTCGATGTGGCGGTATTCTCAAATCCTTTACGCCACCGAAGTCGCTTGAATTCCATCTCAAATTCATGTCGTTCCATTCCTGTAAAAAGTAATATTAAAGCAGTGAGAAATATGATAATAAAAAGGAGAATAACAAAAAATTTCATAAACTCTGAAAAGCTGACAAAAAAGCAAGATGGTATTTAATAATAACGAAAAATGAACAGCATTAATGATAAATTCATTAAGAGGGAGTAAAGGAGCTAGTAGAAAAGCTTATGTAAATAAGGTGCATATTTTGTTGAAGATAAGATTTGGTTTCGGATTTTTACAAAATGAGAAAATTTGAATTAAGATAGTGAACGGCTCCTAGTGCCCTAAAGTAGCTCTCAGCTAAGGTATGGTTTAGGTTTATTGCCAATTTCTATACAGTGCATTTTTGGGTATCAATGGAAGTTTGAAGACAAACTCTCTCCCTTATCTTAGTCTTAATCAATATTCATTTTAATTCAAGTGTTGGGTGCCACGAGTAGTCATACAAATTAGCGCTTAAAGTTGCATCTAAGCAATAAATTAATCAAGTGCTGGACTCTCCTGAAAAAACTTACAAAGTCATAACACATCGCACCAAATTCTCATCAGGACCTTTCCTCAAAAAATTCTTTACAAGAAAAAGAATCCAAAGCATCAGCGACAAAAAAAAATTATTCATTACTGTTTGTGGTTGTAAAATATGATACGGGTAATTATAATATTTTAGTAGGTTAATAGCAAAAATTCTGTTCTTAACTATCATTTGGGAGATTGGTGTTGTTCAAACTAAAAAGACGATGAGATGAGGCGGCAGTAAAAGAAAACTTATGAAAATGTAAACATGAAACTTTTCACCCCTACTGAGACGCTCTAAAGTGTTGGTCTACTCTACACTAAAAAATCCTTGTGTATGTAAATTTACTTTTGTAACAACATAGATTCTAATGTTTACACTGATCCCCATGTTAATTAATGTAAAAGCATAAACATTTTTTTTTGTTTTCATAGATTTTTTTTTTTAATTTTATTTTTTCTCTGTAGGAAATTACGTGAGCAATAAGGAAGCTCTCATTTTTGTTTGTCATTTAAAATTACGAAAATCCATCAATCATGGATGGACTTGTCATTTAGAATGAGTGGCAGGGGTGTAGCCAGGGGGGGGGGGGCATAGGGGGCCCGGGCCCCCCCCCCCCCCTACGAAAATCTGATAATTGTTTTATTAAGTATTTATAGAGAAGAACCAGTTAATGTAGAGGAAATGATGAAAGAAATTTCAAAATCAGCACGAAAAATTAAATTTAATGTATGAATAATGAATTCAATATTTAAACTTATGAAGAATGAATATAGATTTAAGGATACAAAATAACGGTTTTTTAATTTTCGAAAATGGGCCCCCCCCCCTTAAAAATTTTCTGCCTACACCCCTGATGAGTGGTGCTGCTTAAATATAAATTAACAATGAATATGCAGAATTTTTTTGTATAGAATTGAATTACTAAGCATATTCATGAAAAAAATGTACTTTTGAGATTACATAGCTATGATTTTAAAGGAATGTATTGTGGTCATTTGAATGTATTTTAAGCAGTTTAATTCATGAAGGGTAGCATTAGAAAATGACCCTAGACGTTACTGCATCCTTAGCAATACCAAAGATTTAAAGCAGTAAACAGTTTTCAAACCAAGCTAAAATTATTAATGACTTAAATTTTAGCATTTTATAAATGTCAAATCTACTCAAATCTCAAAAATACAATCTTAATTGCCAAATCCATCTCGCATTACTTTGCTTCCATTACTTATTCTCAAGAAGATTTTGAATAGGATTGCTTAATGGTTTGTAAATAAATTAGCAACTTGCAAGATGTTTTTTTTAGAAAACGAAAAATCTTCCTCGCAATTTCCTCAATAAAAGTGCTTAATGACGGCAATATTTTGTTAATTTTCTTAATATACTCTAAGAAAATGCTCGTATTTCAAATAAACATAAAAAAAGCCACCTAATCCATAGAAAAAGAATGGCAGACTTTTAAGCTTACTTATTTTTATGCATTAATTAGTGATGCTGAATCAATTACAATTCTATGCGTACTTTTTTGAGCAATAAAAGCTAATCATAATGAAAATATCATCAAAATTGTTTCGAAAATTAATGAAAAATAATTAAAATGTCTGTTTGTTTGGATTTACTGTAAATTGACTTATGTATATATTTGTTGGATGTTCTTAGATATCGCTAGAAAAAACAGTTCAGTCATGAGCGTAGGAAGCGTTTTCGTTACTCAAAGCTAAATCATAAAATTTTCTATTTACATATTCTGCTTTTTTACAGGATTTTGTATTCAGAATCTGTGGAAGTAGTTTAAGTTCGCATTCTACTAAATTTTAAAGTAAACCCCGAGAGCTTAATAAAAAAAATAAGTGAGTAAAGATTGTATGAGCGTGCGATTGATTCCCAATTTGAAGAACCAGCTTGTCAAATTTTAGCAACAACTTAATCATGTCTTTAATTAAAACCATTATCTGTAGCGTCATTCAGTCAAGCTGACAAAAGGGAGTAATCTCCAGCAAACCAAGCCTGAAATTGACCCCAAATCAGCTAAGATTGCAACATTGTTCCTAGACAATACCAAATTAAATAAGGATCAACAACAAAAATGTCACGAGACACAAAAAACCCCGATTTCATATTTTTCTTTCATACGACTCACAGCACGCTGTAATCTATTGCTAGACTTGCTTTATTCGTTTCATTTAGGCATCTTATGGTATCGCCTTGTGAAAAATTTGTTCCCATCTTAACAAGAACAGCAGAATTTCTTTCAATTATAACTCAATAAATAATCTTGTTAATTTAAGCAGTAAATTATATTAAATGACATTAACGGAAATTAATGAAGAAAACAGAGAAACAAGACATGGAAAAAATTTGTAAGATAGGCTTAGAAGAACGACAGAGAAATAGCTGAGCTTTGCTGTAAATGACTGTGTGTGATTGCAATACAATCATAAATTGGAATAAAGTCTCCATTCTATTAGCTATAAAGTTTGTGGGGGGATTGAAATGTTACAGTATAGACCAAAATGGACATAAAAGGAATCATAAGTGATTGTTCTATGCTTTACTTAATCAGTCGTTTGAGATAAGTCGAAGGACTTAATTTCACTGAACATGATTTTGTTATTAAAAAAGATTCTTTTTGGACAGCAAAAAAAAAAAAAAAATACCCAGTTTATGCTGCTATGGAGAGTCGAAGTGAAATTTCATGTATTTTCATTTTGATGTACTATAAAATTAAAAAAAAATCCCTAAATGTTTAAGCCAAGATATATAGATGTGCTCATACAAAAATATCGCAGTTTTTAAACGTCAAAAATTTGAATTTTCTAAAAACACTAACACTATAAAATTTTCAATTTTTGTTTTGCAAAATTTTCAACTTTCTGTTAAGTTTTGTTGATACAGGAGTATTGCAAATGCTTTGCTATAATTTAAAGAAACTGACTTAAGACAAATGTTGTTGCATCTGTCGATATTTAAATGAAAACTTGAAAATAGAAAATTTTAAAAATTTTTGTTTGTATAAGTACAAAAAAAATAGTATGGTCGAGTATGGTCAAGTATACTCTGTATGAGCCCATCTATATATCTTGGTTTAAGCCTAAAAAGCTTTTCTAGTACTAGCACAAATTTAATCGTATAAAATAGTTCATGCATATGAGATTTATGATTAGAGTACAAACTTACCAATTTCAGCCATATATTAGTGATGAGCAGTTGATTTTTCTCATCCTATAAAAAATAAAAAAATAAATAGATAGATGAGTAAGCTTATTTATGTTATATGTGCCTTCAAATCGGACATTATAAACTATCCAACTAAATAATATTAATGCACAGAATAGACAGGATAAAAAAAATTGCAAGTTTAATTTATTGTACGAAAATTCCTCCTCCTTGAGTATTTATGAAAGCAATAAACCTCTCATCCTCACAATATCTCACGCTTCATTTCCTATTAACATAAAATTCCAATTATCACACGGGTGAGCAGGAAACAAGAGTTTTCTTCATCCTTCAAGGCCGATTTTAATGGGAAATTTTTTCGAGAAATATGAACAGAGATTTATGTTAATATTTTTGGCTCTCGAAACTGGGTTGTATACAGGATTACTGATGATAACGGTAGTTTGGGAAATTGATGTTTAAATATTTTGACTCATTTGGCAATAAAAGTGGTTGCTAGGTGCTGTGAATATCTGATTTAAGGACTATAATGATTTTAAGATGCTAAGAGAATATAGCAACTGTATATTTTGATAATTACTGCTTTCTTTTATCTGGAGTAATACTGAGGAGGATTTTATAAGGGTCTTGCTAAGCAACGTCAAGTGACTCTTCATTGAATAAACTTTTTTGATCTGTACTATATCTAAAGAGAATTTGTAGCATCTAAGTACTGTAAGTGAGTTAGTAATGATACTAGAAACGTTTGGGAAGTAAGTTGATGCGTAACTCAACAACTAGAACTTTTTTACTAATTAGAAATGTAAGCACAAAAACCTTGAACTTTATAAAGTGATTCTTTTGCAAAATGCACCAACTTTGTTTAAATTCTCTCACAGTAGCACACTGTAGCACACTGAGGTAGCAGAAAAATGGACTCCAACAGTGAAAAAACATTCGAGGATCTAGATTATTTAGAATTAAGTGAACAAACCCTAATTAGACATCACAAAAATTATTTAATTTATCAAGTACGACAGATCAACAATCCAATTTTAATTCCAACACTAAATTGACAAACAGAATCTCGACTCCAAGACTTTTTAACAAATTAAAAACAATTTAAGAAATCCAACAATTAAATTAGAGAATTTAATTCAGTAAATTGTATTTACAAAATCTGTTGCACGATAAATCTTTTTTCCGTGTATAAGTTTCTCATATAAATCATCTCTCTACCATGACTTCTCTACCTATTTCCTCTCTTCTGTCTGCCGCATTAACCTTTTTTTTCTTTCTTAGAACAGCTTCCGCAATAAATTATATAAAAAAAAATATTTCAATGATAGGAATGAGAAAGGGGATTTATTTGTAAGTGATAAGGGGATGGACTGTATATGCCGCAAATCGATTAAGACAAGAAGTATAGATAATAATAAAAAGTTTTTTTTTCTTATCCCAAGAGATGAGATAAGACCTCATTGAAAGAAGTAGAAGAAGAATGAAAGGGGATAACAGGCCACAAATACTTTATATGTGTATACATAAATAAATCTGTGACTACATATATACCAACATTCAAAGCTTCTTGCAGTAGTGTCCGAAGCTTAAGAGGATCATTCTTCATTCCTCATGACTTTCTATAAATCTTCTTTTTTTTTCTGTGATAAATATGTGCGGCGGAAGAGATTTACCGTCAACGAGACTAAAAATATATAAAACAAGGAATAAAAATGGAATGCATCGAAGCGACTTTCCATTTGGAAGCTGTATTAATATGATGTCTTAACACACATAATACCATACAAATGATTATGGTAAATATGCTGAGTTTATAACTCTTCTGGAGAGCATCATATTATGGAATGGATATCGTATTGTGTATGTGAATCTACATAAATTCATATCCCTCAAGATTTAGATTAAGATTACGTCAGTTTAGTTTTATGTTTTATGAAGAATAAGAGAATAAAAAAAGGATATAAGCAAAAAATATGCTTCTGTGGTACTTCATAGTCTAAATATTATTATTGAATTGATAAAGGCAAGATTTTTACTGCTTTTTATGGTCGATTAGTAAGGAATTTTGGAAGAATTTACATTTTGACTCAAGAAGAAGATTCTGAATTTAGGAATCTGCTCGAAGAATTGCTGAACTAAGAATATTTTATTGTAAGCTCACGAAAATTCCGAGATGAAATTTTTCACTAGTCAGAAAATAACTTGATATAATTTTGTAAGAATGCTTTCAAGATATCTAAAATATTTGTTGAAATGATGAAATTTGATGGAAATATATTTGAGCTTATTTCAATCATACTTAAAATTAATTCAATCGTGAGTAGTTTGTGCCAACATTTACTTAGATGATGCAAAAGCTTGTTCCTAAGAATAAATTATTCAAAATTCTAATATTATCAAAATTGCGTTCTTATTCCTCACGACACAATTTTAATTCCTTCTACAACTTCAAACTACGTTCATTTTGTTTCTGCCTTTATTAAAGCACACTTATCTGTTGTAAAAACTTCAATCCGTTGCTCTTATGCTTATAGATTTAAGATTACAATGTCGTTATTCGAGTCTCTTTCATACACACAGAAATTCATACAAATAATATCTAAATATAAAGTAAAGGCAACAACAGAAGGAGTGGAACAGATGAAGAAGGAAGATGTTTGTTTTTATGTAGATATTTATGGTAAATAAGGTGCCGTTAAAGTCTGTGCCAGGTTCCAAAATGAATTTGAAAGTGGAAAATAAAAGAGATTGTGCAATAAATTTTCTCACGCAATTTGTATGCATGAGCTTTACATAAGGAAGACAGAACTGTTGTGTGTGCGTATGAATGTTTATATCTACGGGTACATGCTTCATTTCGCTATGGGAAATATGAATAAAACGAACTCCCTTAAATGTCTTTTAAATCCTTGTGCTATGTCGGATATCATGTTCATTTATCAGACTTGCTTGGGTGGCATGAATGAGGTGGAGATTTTTCTTTTATTTGGAATGAAATAAGGAAAAAATCATGACTGCCTGTGAAATGTATTTTCCTTGAATTCCGAAAATGTTATACGTTTACATTCATTTTTATGGGGTTAGAAAATTGAATTGGATTTTAATTTACCTTTTTAACGGCTCTGTATCATCATAATAATAATCATAATGTTAAATAAAACAAAATAATGCGCCTCTTTGAATTTCTAATTTCCTTTACAATGATGGGATTTTTTTTAGATCTACAAGATGATTAAAATTTCAATATTGCTGATTTGTACATGAAAATGCTCAAGTGCTCTACTTTTTTAAAGGGTTCAATTAAATTTTATTTCTATTACAATAATGAATGACCTTTTTTTACTTCCATTCCGTATTAAAGCGAGGCAAGAAAGTTAAATCGGAAGAGTTTAATGCTGATGTAAATGAGATAATTAATTAATGGAAATCTTAGACGTTCACTAATGTCCATTATTGAATGTTTCGGGCTATTTATAGAAAATATCGAGAAATGCTTTTAATGGCAATTTTTGCTGTATAAGAAATACAATATTTTGTAAATAAGGATCTCTTGAATTGACTAAAGGAGGAAGGATATATTCAGTAATAGAATTGATTTTCACGTTTTCTGTTGCGTATCTTTTGGTTTTAGTGAATCTTTAGTTTAGTCTTTTGGTATGATTTTTTTGATGAACCTGTAGTTTTTTGCATTCCTGACCAAACTTTTCATTTTTTAATACCTCATTCCTTGGCAACATGGATAATCTACCATAGGATACAAAATTGATAAACTACACTATTGTTTGAAAATATAAGCTAGCTGTGACCAAGGAAGTTGACCCCGGCACCCTTGGAAATTCACTTCAGCAATCTACAATTTTAAACATTATCACAACCCTTTAGGACAAAGTTGTAGCAGTAAATTCTCAATTTATCTTCTCAACCAGATGCATCCAAAAAATCAGCTCTGCTTCTTCTTTCAATTATGCTTGCAGACGTTTTTCAAGAAAAATTTCGTTATTCGTATCCATTAAAGTATCAAAGTCATTGAGCATCTTTCCACATTTCTATCCTAACATGCTTTAATTTCCTCTCGCAGCAAGAACATAAGTTCCTAATAAAACAAAAGAAATTTTCCGCATGGTCACCACTACTGAATATGATTACTAGCCACAACAACTATCTTGTGTTTATTTCTAATCGCATGGTTTCATAAAATATTCTTTTCCTTTACACTCGAATGATTTATGTATTTTAGTTATCGATCGTCTGAATCGCGCTTCAAAATTATGGCTTATTCGATAAGAGTATTAAGGAAGTTAAGGGTATAATAAAATTGTACAAAAATAGATATAAGCTTCATGTCTATCAAGTATGAGATACAATATAGTTGGAAGGAGAAGAAAAAAAAACTATCGACTAACAAATACAATCTGTTGCTTATTACTTTCTCTCATTCGTATATAATATCGTAAAAATAAAGTAAGAAGAGATGAAAATAACCAACTTTTCATGTTAAAAGAATTAAACTTGGTACAATGCAACAATGAGGATAGGTATGGGAAAAAAGAAAACTTTTAAATAAAAATCCATAAAACTTTTTTAAATCTAGTTGAAAATTATGAAAACTGTTCATGGAATGTGAGAAAGTTTAATTAGAGAAATTTTTGTTCATAATAGCTAATTGATTTTGAAAACATAAGAACGACAGTGAAATGAGACGTAAAGACACAAAGTGTCATTAAAATGTAATACAAACTAATGACAATTCAGAAACAGAAACACAACTTTTCTCATTAACTTAAATATTTATAAACATAATCATTGTAAGCATAGAAGAATATAGATGTGTAGGAACTGCTTAAATTCACTTATCGTTCACTTGCATTTGAGATGATTTGATTTTAGTGAGAGGTTAGAAAAGTTTCATTGAATGTGCTTTCAAATTTCTATACATGTCATAATGAAGCCTTTTGTGACTAAGTATATTAAGTAGTTACAGAATTATAAAAAATTAATTATAAATATTCACTATTTGTATATTTTTGTGTTTTATTTCACATACG